GCCAAAATAAAATAAAACATCTGCGCTGAAGATAAGGATAGTGCTGACAGATCAACTTCCAATTCATACGCGCCCGCCGCAGCGTTCCCCGCCGAGCAGCGTGAAATTGATAAACAGATTTTCGGATTTCAAACATACTTTCGCTTTAGATCCTTTACATATTAACAAATATATATCGGAAATTCTATTTGATATAATCGAAAGTTTAAGCTTACTTTTATAAAATTGCTCTTACAGTCTGCAAAAAATAATAAGCCGGATCCAATTCGAAAATTAAGGAACAACGCAATCATCAACATTAACTGAAATAGATAATTAGATAATTTTAGCTTATACGTCCATTTTACATAAAACGCGCATGCGAAAACGTATTCTGCACTTGCACACACTCATATGCGCAGTCGTAAAAGCTCTTACGCACACACGTAAACGCCTCTGCGCATGTGTCAACGCGGCACATGCGCAGAAAGTTTTTAGTTTTGAGGTCCGGATTATAGATCATTCCGAATTATGGGTGTCCGAATTAACGACTTTTGACTGTAGTAGAAGTGTGCGTGCCACATAATGAAGATTCTGAAGATTAGGTAAGTTAGTATTTTTAATCATTTGAGGATATTATTTTTATGCATTGTTCTAAATGTAAGGACTAAATAAATTAATATGATATTATTGGAAAATTGTTATTAGCAATGATTTAGTTTAAAGAGATTAGGATTGTAATCTAATTTTTATTAACTTAATGTATGTGCTTTTTTATTTTTTAAGTAGTGTTTTTTAATTTAATTATATTTTAATATAATGATCGTGATTTTGTGAGTTATATGTTTGCAGTATTTTGGAATACATTTGAGTAGAATACATTGAGTATTTTCATGCATTTTCGTGAAATTTTTCTAATTTACGAGAAAAAAGCAGTGTACATGGATATGGTGAAGAGTGTGCGCAATGCCATTTTTGTGCAATTGCAATTCTGGGATGTTTTTTTAAGTAAAAATAAGTCGACGTGTACATGTTTTAGCGATATTTTAATTAAATGATAGTTATTTTGTTAATTTTATGTTTGTAGGAATTTGGTATACGTTTCAGTTGAAGTAAACGTGCATGGAAGTAATTTAAATATTTAACACTAAGTATTTGTAACCATTTGTAATGTTTGCGGTATGAATTCGTTGGTGACGTTTATAATATAATAGATAATTTAGAGGTAAAGTTTTTGGATATTATTTATTTATACGTGGAAATGTTCATCTTTGGAAAGGGTATATACTTTTTGCGATCAGGTAATTTTATATATGTTCTTTTTACTGGATTTAAAGATTCACAAAATTTTCATGCATTTTCGTGAAATTTTTCTAATTTATGAGAAAAAGGCAGTGTGTATGGGGTACAACTCTAATATACGCCCTAATTTCACCAAATGTGGCGATATGTGTTCTGCGCTGGTTTTTGGCGCAATTTCGTGTTCTATGGCAACCCTGTTGACGTTGAAAAATCTTTCGCTGGAGTTTGTTGGTTCGCCTCTGTGTCTGAGAAGATGGGAGGGAAAGATAAAATGGTAGTAGTTGAATTGAAGTTCGGCAAAAGGAAATATGATTGCGGCTATCCAGTTGAGGGGGCGAGGGTTATTTGGAAGTGTGGAACGAGGGTCTGGGAGATTTTTTAATGGCAGTGCATGATAGAAGTAGGGATGTGATTTTTTTATTTTGTGAACCATAGTATAAATTTTTCTGGATAGTGTGTCTGGCTGTCATGTAAATACGATAGTGATTACGTGGCGGTGTTAAAGGCGGTATGAAATTATATCTCTGCTATTCGAAAACGCATTAATTCGTGGTAAGTGCATTTTATTTTATCCTTGTTCTTATTTTGTAGAATGTTATGTTCATTAGTTCTTTAATATGAATTTCTGTCGTTATTGTTGTTTTTTCAAATTGTTTGAAATTATTTTAGTTTATTTTGTTGTTTAGTGTTAGACTGTAGAATTCGATTTGTTTTTAAAGTTGAAAAACAGAACGCTGTGTACATGGTATTTTTGAAATTTATTGTTGTTATGTTATTTTATTAAGCGAGGAGTGCGAGATCGTAGATTCCTTCCTTGCTAAATTGTGCAATTCGTAGAATTTTTTTTAAGTTTAAACAGGATGCTGTGTACATGGTATTCTTTGAAATTTTGTTGTTATGTTAATTTTATTAAAGCAAGGTGTGGTTTTTAGTTTCATTGGTGATCTTTACAATATGGTAACTGGTAGTTTTGGCGACATTTTGGAGGCGATAAAGGTTCTACCTGGCACTTCGGTAATAATGTGAGCATGTCTCAGTTCCGATTACGCATTATTTTTTTTTTGTGAGGGAAATGAAAGATCATGGGATATGTCATGTGATTAATGGACGAATTACGGTTTTTATCGGAAAAGGGGGGTAAATCGGAAAAAATCTGGAAATTTGTATTTGGCTTTTTGTTGTGTGAAACAGTGTTCGTGAATTTTTGGATCCCATGGCCGTAACTAAAGTGAATTCGAATGGGTTTTTATATATGTATTAATTTAATGTATGTGCCATTTATATTTTAAGTAGTGTTTTTGAATTTAATTATATTTTAATTAAATGATAGTTATTTTGTGAATTTTATGTTTGTAGGAATTTGGTATACGTTTTAGTTGAAGTAAACGTGCATGGAAATAATTTTAAATATCTGACACTAAGTATTTGTAATGGTTGCGGTATGAATTTGTTGGTGACGTGTATAATGTAATAGATGATTAGAGGTAAAAGTTTTTGGATATTTATTTATTTTATATGTGGAAATGTTCATTACTTTTCGCGATCAGGTCATTTCATGTATGTTTTCTTTTACCGGGTTTAAAGATGAGAAAATTGTCATGTATTTTCGTGAAATTTTTCTAATTTATGAGAAAAAAGCAGTGTACATGGATATAGTGAAGAGTGTGCTCAATGCCATTTTTGTGCAATTCTGGGATTTTTTTTTAAGTAAAAATAAGTCGGCGTGTACACGGTTTATGTGTATGTGTTATTTTGAAAAACGCGTAAGGAGTATGGTATTGTGCACTTTTTCCCAATTTTGCAGTGAATATTTGTCATGATTAAGCAGTTTTGTTAGATAAAATTTCTAGCATAAGTGAAATTCGGCTAGTAGAGTGTTGGAAGAAGTGTTCAGTAGATAAAAAGAAAAGAAACATGTCTTTACTTCGTGAAGACAAAATGGCGGCGGGAAAAAAAAATAGAGGGTTGCTGTAGGAGAGTTGGTCGCCAAATTTTCGCCAAAAAAACGCCAAGTTACCATAATGTAAAGATCAAACGTTTCATTCATTACCTACATTGTGCAATTCGTAGATGTTTTTTTTTCAAGTTAAAACATGTCGCTGTGTACATGGATTCTTGTCAAATATTTTTGGTTAGAAACTTTATGGTTTTGCTATCTAAATTTTTGTTTTTGTTTCGGATTTTAGCTAAATTGTGTGTTCAAAACGTAGTTTTTGCATGTGCGAAAACCGCGTTTTTGGAGACATTTTAGGCTAAAAGTTCAAAATGTAGACAAAAAATTTAAATAGTAATATGGCAGCGTGAAGTTTCTTGCCAAAAACTTTTGGCGACTTGAGGGCACATATCAGAGTAGTTCCGTATATGGATATAGTGAAGAGTGTACGCAATGCCCTTTTTGTACAATTCTGGGATGTTTTTTTAAGTAAAAATAAGTCGACGTGTACATGGTTTAGTGATATTTAAATTAAATGATAGTAATTTTGTGAATTTTATGTTTGTAGGAATTTCGTATACGTTTCAGTTGAAGTAAACGTGTATGGAAATAATTTAAATATTTGACACTAAGTATTTCTAACCATTTGTAATGTTTGCGGTATGAATTCGTTGGTGACGTTTATAATATAATAGATAATTTAGAGGTAAAAGTTTTTGGATATTTTATTTATTTTATATGTGGAAATGTTCATCCTTGGAAAGGGTATATCCTTTTTCGTGATCAGGTAATTTCATATATGTGCTTTTTACCGAGTTTAAAGATTCACAGAATTTTTTTGCATTTTCGTGCAAATTTTTGTAATTTATGAGAAAATAGCAGTGTAGATGGATAAAGTTAAGAGTGTGTGCAATGTCATTTTTGTGCAATTCTGGGATTTTTTTTAAGTAAAAATAAGTCGACGTGTAAATGGTTTATGTGTATGTGCTATTCTGAAAAACGCGTAAGGAGTTTGCGATTGTGCACTTTTTCCCTATTTTGCAGTTAATGTTTGTCATGATTAAGCAGTTTTGCTACGTAAAATTTCTAGCATAAGTGTAATTCGGGTAATAGATTGTTGGAAAAAGTGTTCAGTAAATAAAAAGAAAAGAAACATGTCTTTACTTCGTGAACACAAAATGGCGGCGAAAAAAAAGAGGGTTGCTGTAGCAGAGTTGGTTGCCAAATTTTCGCCAAAAAATCGCCAAGTTACCATAATCCAAAGATCAACCATTATTTTTAATGATATTTATTTTTTTAAAGTTTCGAATACTTTACTATGCGTGAACTACGCAAAAACAGCATTTTTCAAGATGGCTGATGACTGTAAAAACCGCGCCAATGTAAATCGCCAAAAATCCATGCAACTGTCTACCAAAGTAGAACCTTAGATTTATACTGATGATCTATAATCTGGAATCACAGAAGTCTCAATGAGTCCACAACTCAGACTTTGTATGGTAATAATTTTAACACTTTCATTAAAGGCAAATATTAAGTAATTAAATTTACCAAGATCATTAATAATACAACAAAAAACAAAGTATTTAACTTTTTAATATGAATACAAATGAATAAAATACACACAAAGGATCATATAAATCAGCTAATCAAAACTGAAAAATATTCTGTTAGCCTCAGTGTCACGTAATACAGACAAAAAAAGAGCTGAACAAAAAGACGTTGAAGAGCATTTATATCCTGAGCTGTAATAAATGTGTTTAAAAATAAAGAACATAAAACTTACTTTTGGAAAGAACATTAGTATGTTGTGTTTCATGAAATATAATGACAGATGGTCCTAATATCGACATTGGCCCATCTACATGAAAGCGAGCACATGCTTCTTCTAACTCCTGAGAGAAATGCTTCGTATAGGCTGCTGAGGCATCACCAAGAAAGGAAAACATATCATTGTGAAGACGTTCAGCACGTGTTCGATAGATCACAACATCAGAGATTGCTAAAACCTAAGATATAAAAAAATATAATATCCATTCTAACACCACTGTTATACAATTCAAGATACAGGTAACATAAAAAACATTTAAAACTGATAAAAAATATTATGTAACAGAAATTCTTCTTTATGATATAAAAGCATATACATTAAATATGCAGTGTTAAATTAAATCAAAGTACCATAATAAATTATACAAAAATTGCAATTAACTACTGACAGCTCTTTTTTTGTCAATATTAAAATGAGATGTATTACTTCTTAACACTATAGAACTGCCAAACTGAAACTTTTACCAAATCGTGTAAAACTTGTATATCATAGCTGAGAAAAGCTCCAGATGTTTTACATTTTTGAGAAAATTATATATTAGCATCAGCTTGTATGCAATTTAATTGCACATTGGTACTTTCACATTATTTTCCATTAAAATTACCATTTTGAGAGGGTTAATATTAATTCCGCTGTATTGAGATTCCAATCAGGGAGGTAGTGTTACTCGCGTCCATAGTAAACTAAGCTACACGTGCCTCCTGGGTAGTGCAAAGGAGTAACAGCAATCATCAGTGCAGCCTAAACAGAATTGTTTTCAACACAGCAGCCTCCTCAGACCTTTTCTGGAGTGCAGTCGGCTTGTCTAGTACTAAAGTTACTGAATTTAAAACTGTTGCAGCTAGAGGGAATTGCGATGTATTTGCTATCACGTAGGCTGGTGCTTCTATTGACCTTCTAGAATATTTAGAATACTAAAACTTTAATCTTTACATATTACAAAGATCCCATTAAGTTGCCTCCAGCACTAGTTTAGACGTTAAAAGTACTAATACCTGCCCTTTCAAAATCCTTCACTCAGTGCAAGTCGACAAACTAGAAGCAGTTGAGCTAAACGTATGGAAGGGATCGTTGTAAACTAAATTAGTTTTTGTTCATAACCCTTCTGGTTATGAACAGGATTTAACTTTACTTTAGCATTTTATACTCTTAGTAAATGTATTTATTTACATTTGCCAGCCATCTTAAAAAACAACGTTTTTAACAAAAAATTAATCCATTATTTTTAAGGATATTTATTTTTTTAAAGTTTCGATTTTAGGATTATCACAGGATTAGCAATGTAGCGCAGGACTTTATATTTTTTCTGGTAATGTACCTAATATCTCTATCCTGGAAAATGCTCTTGATGTAAAAAACATAATTGTTGGAGACTTCAATTGCCACTCTTGCAAATGAGGTTACAAGCAATCAAACCCCTCCTGGTAGGACTTTGGAGGACTTCCTTGACTCTTCTACTCTTGATCTTCATCAGTCTAAAGGATATACTTTTCTCTTCTTTAAAGAATACAAAAAGGAGAAAAGACAAACACTGATCTTGGCTTCTCATGCATTAATTTGTCAAAAAAAAATTACATTTGACCTTCTGGAGTCCTGCAGTGGATATGGACATAAACTCCTGAAGATATCTCGTACCCTTGATTCTCAGTGTTCTTATACTAATACAGATCCTTTTCGTAAATAAAATCTAAAAAAGGCTGATTGTCCAAAGTATGCTCATTTGACTGACAAACCTCTTGACGTGAATAAGCTTGACTTTTCAAAACCAGAAAAAAATAGAGACTTTACAAAGTCTATTTGTGTTTGTACCCAAGCCTTAATTCCTTGAGGAAAAATGAGAAATTATAAACATTTGGTGCCCGTTTACAAGCTGAGCTTTCGGCTAACTTAAAATCAAATGTAACTCTTCATTGTTCATAGGCAGTCCTTAAAGCTATTAAAGGAGCAAAAAGAAAGTGTTTTAAAGATTTTGCTTTGGCATTGGACTTCAGAAGAGATGGTGTTTGGGCTCAATGTTCCCTAATCCTCTGAGCGGCGCAGGATTTTAGATCTGTCATGACCACCGGTATTTAAATAGCATTTATTAATGGAGTTTGTATAATTACTTATTTTAGACTGTATTTTCCTAAACTTACATTCATTAAGATGATATTTCCATTATTAATGAAATTAAGAAAGCAAAATATCTTAAATTGTAAGCTAAGATATGCCAAGTAGCTAAACTTCTGATGACTGGATAAAGTCGGTCGTAACGCTCAGAGGGTTAAATAATGAACAAAATGAAACTAAAAGTTAACCTTTGGTTAGAAATGGAAGATATCATTATACCAACAGAGAAAAAGCCTTAGCCTTTGCCAAATTTTACGCTCACTATGCAGACTTTCCTGTTAAAAAAAAAAAAAAAAAAAAAAAAAAAAGGATTAGACCTCTTTATCAGCTGCCCCCTGGATGTCTTGAATATGACTACAAACTTCGTTTTAACAGTGATTTTACTCTCGACGAGCTCCCCAGAGCTATGCATGAGGCAAAAATGGGTAAATGCCCTGGACCTGATGATTTGCCCAGTGAACTTTTCACTAAACTGGGTAAAAAAGGCCAAACTCTTCTCACTTTTTATGGCATTACTTGGAAATCGTGTGTTCCCTCAGAAAGGAAAAGAGCTAGAATAACTCCTGTCCGGAAATCTGTAAAGCCAACTGACAGTCAAGCTACAGACAAATTTCTGTAACAAACACTTGTTTTAAATTAATGGAAAAAATAAACTTCTATCTGGAGAACAATAAGATCCTCTCGGACATTCAGGCTAGTTTCCATATGAAACGTAATACTATGGAACAGGCAGCATTCCTTTTACAATGTATTAAAGATGGATTTCATAGAAAACAATCCACACTTATTATGTATGTAGACCTTAAAAATGCCTATGATAAAATCTGGTATAAAAAACTGGTTGAGAATATGATATTGGCTGGTGTCAAGGAAAGTATGCTAAATTAGTTTAAATCGATAATATCCCAATAAATAGCCAGAGTTAAATATCAATCCTTTTTATCCAGGTATGTTCTCCAAAATGGGCTCCCCCAAGGAGCTGTAATTAGTTGTACCATGTTTAATAACATGATTAATATAGTGATTACTAAATTGTTGGAGGTACCAGGCATCAAATGCCTAGCATTTGCCGATGACATAGTTATCTACACTACAGAAAGCGACATTACTCCTTTTAATAAGTCTATAAATGATGCCTTAAAGATCTTGGATACTTGGTCCAATGAAAATCTTGAAAACTGTTAATCCTAAAAAATGTATGGCAGCTTTGTCAACAAAACTTTCCCAACTCAACATTGCCTACGGTGGTCAAAGTTCAATTCAAGTGGATGTTTTTCGCTACCTTGGCGTCTTCTTTGATAATAAGCTCTTGTGGAGAAGACATGCTGATGAGATGGTTAACAGGGAGAAATCTAATCTAATCTAAGAAAATAAGCCGTACCGCCAAAATTGGCACAACCGGCAATTTAAAAGAAACAAACTGAAAGAAACACTACAACAGAATAAGGACTACTTATCCAAAAACTCATCCTCCGCTGGAGATGTGTCGGCGCCGCCAACGGGTCATCTCGACCTTCATTCAGAATAGAAACCACCTATTTCTTAATATAAAATGACTAAATTGAACTCAAGACAATTGCTAACCTAAACAACAATTATAAAATACAAATATTGCCTAGCTTAACGAACAATAAGCATTTACAGTTTTCAGTAAATTATACATTGTATGTATACAAATTACATTATAATTTATGCAATTCAACTCAAAAATTTAAGCAACTAAACATAAGGATCGAAATATACATAATTATTCAAATTGGTAATAATTTTTATAAGTCCTAATTTAGCTTTATTTATTATTGCTATATAGATATTTTTCATTATTTATAGATATATTTCGAAAATATTCTCCTCTAATTTCCTTCGTTAAGGCACAGTCCCAAATGTAATGTCCATTAGATGCTCCAGATGCATCCTGACCACATCGGCAATGAATATCTTTCCCATGAAACCTTTTTAGATATTCTGGAAATGGAAATTGGCCATGTCCTGTTATCAATTGATTTAGCAATCTATTGTAACTTAATCTTTGCTCTTTGACAACAGGAATATTTTATAAACCTTTCGTCCAGTTTTGTCATAATGCCATCTTTGTTGCCATGTGTGGAGAATCTTGTCATTGTCATGTAGTACACTCTAATATAATATAATAAGATAAAGGAACCGTGATATCAATAATATCTGTATTATAGTATGCTTCCTTAGCAGCAGAATCTGCTGCTTCATTTCCATAAATATTCGAATGTCCTTTTATCCAATTTATATGTAATTTCATTTTTGAATTAATATTGTGAATATAATTTTCTGACTTTATCTACTTTTGTAGATAAACATTTTCTAGAATTAAGAGCTCTAAGGATGCTCTGGGAATCTGTGAACACCGAAATCTCCCAATTTGTAATATATTTCTCATTTTCTTCCCTCATTAGCCCATCTTATGGCGTATTCAAAGGCAATAAGTTCTGCATCAAAAATAGTTGAATTATTATTCAATCTTAATTTAGATTTATATACAAATTTATTATTTGCAAAAGCAACAAAGCTGCTGCTCCAACATTTTTATCAATCACGGAGCCATCAGAGAATAATTCCAAACCAACACCAGTTGGAAGAAGTGTCTTCTTCCAGGTAACCTCTTTAAATTTGTGCCGGATGAAAATGAAACTTTTCTAATTTTGGATCAATTTCTCTATTAGAAATCTTCAGGTCACAATAATCTATATTCTTCTTCATATGAACAGCTTTATAAATCAGCGTTTCAGCTTCAGCTACTAAGTCTATAGGGCATAACCCCAGCTAAGACCTGTAGGCTGGTGGTAGAGACTGTTCTGTAGCATCCCGTAATGGGTAGCATTGCAACCCTCTGAATCTGTAGCAATTTATTTCTCACCCTTTCCGTTCCAGTCCACCAAACGGGTGAGCCATACAAGATTATTCGTTCAATTCCTCTCTTGTATAACTCTTTTAAAATACTTTTACTTTTAAAAGAATCCATACATAATAATCTATTCATCTTATTCATAATCTTAAAAATTTTTTCTTTCAATTTAGTTAAATGTGGCAACCAAC